AAGCTGCAGGGATCCTCAGCTGGGATCCGACCTCCCAAAGCGCCTTGGGAACAGTCTGATTTCAGCTTCCCTTCACCCTGTTACCAGATCACTTCAAGTGAAGTAAAACACACCCTTCCCATGGGAATGAGAGCACACACAGGGGAGTGAAGCTGGTTTTGCTGGTGTTAAACTGGTTTCTTCCTAACTCCCTGTTTAGCCTTGCAGGTCCTGCTTTCTCCCAGCTACGTTTCCATGGCAATTTGATTTTTTCCTTTTTCCCCCATCTGTAAATCTTCATCTCGGAAAAAATGTGACTGCTAGGGGTTTGTTTTAAGATTTCTGCATGGATACAGTGGGATTGAAGGAGCAGGTGAGTCCTCCCCCCAAGCCTGGGACCACGAGGCACATCCTCTGCTCCCTGCAGGTCCTGGCTGCTCACTGGTGTGATGAGCCCAGCGTGCTCAGGGGGTGCTGAGCTCCAGGCACAGCCCCTGGGGGGTTGTCTGAGGACACACAGTCAGGATCCCACGTGCTGGGCTGGATGGGAGGGATTTTGGGATTCCCTGGGTCGGTGGGAACAGGGAGGTTTGCACAACTCAGCTCGGGGTGCTCGACCCTGTCCCAGGAATTCCAGCCCTCCCTGGGGGGCTGGTGAGGGAAGTGGGGGAGCTCTGGCTCTGCTGCTGTTGTTTCCATGACAATCCTGAGCCAAGGATGCTGTAAAACCAGAGCTGAACCTCCACATCTCCTGGCGTGTCTGTGCTGCCACGGCAACCCCCCATTCCCAGGGCCTTCCTTCCCAAGGGAGACAAGGAACAGCGGCCTCAACAGACCCTTCATGGGTGTGATGGGGCTGGCACAGGGGTGAACATCTGTGTTTCCCTCCAGATGTGGCACCTGGTGCTGCCTGAGCCCCTGGAGGGCACTGTCTGTCCCCTGGCTGGGCACCTTGGAGGGGTTGGGTGCCCTTTGCAGGCTGTGCAAGAGGCCTCAATGACTCTTCCAGCCCAGTGAGTCAAGCAGGACTTTGCTCCCATTTTACAGGTGGGGAAACTGAGGCCGAGGACAACAAGAGTGGGCAGAACCCAAACTTCCCAGCTCTTTGCAGGAGAAGGTTCATTACCCATAATAAACCTTCAGGCCACCCTCTGACCCAGTCACAACGTGAATCAGCAGAGAAAATACCATCTCCCTTACTCAGATGGAGCCATGTGGCACCTGCTTTGCCTTTCTCCAAGCAGGACCATGTTCCATGGAGCTGCCAGTGCTGCCAGCAGAGCTGGGGGGAGACAACTCCAGCCAGAAACAGCCCATGACTCAGGTTGGATCTTCATTTCCCGATAAATGAGTGCCAAGAACAGCTTCAGATTGTTAATTGCCAGGGAGAAGTGGATCCTTTTGGACATAACAAGGCAGGGGGAGAGGGAAGCTCTGGGCCCTTGGCAGCACTTGTGATTTTAATTGCAGCTTCTTGCATGTTCACAGATGAACTTTGTCCCCTGCACCCGAGTGCACAGTCAGCTGGAGCTTTGTTAAGATTTTTCAAGGGATGCTCCAAGCAGAAAACCCCGACAAAAGTCATGGAAAAGCCACCAGGAATAGAAAGCTGAGCTTTCTGCTCCGTATAATACTCTGCAGCCAGTTTGAAGCAGATGCTGGATTAATCCCCAATTTAATTAACGCTGCTCTAATCCTTCAGTTGAAAAGAGCAGCCTGGGATTTGTTGGGAAATGCTGCCCTGTGCACAGTAATGGGGGTTAATGTATTGAAAAATGCAGCCATCGAGGAGCTTTTGCTCTGTTCCCAACCTGGGACAGACTGAAAACTGAATTTCCAGGAGTGGGACTGGACGTGAATGAAGGTCTGTGGTTGGGGCTTCCCACCGTGACAAAATCAGGTTAAAAACTCTTCAGGTACAAACCAGCCCCCGAGTGATTGGAATTTATTTTTAGTTTCTCTGCCATCTGAGCCAATCAAAGGGTTCTCAGGGTTATTTTTCGCCACGCTGATGGGTGATTACAAGAAATGGGCTGAAGGAAAGAGCAGTGGCGGCGTGGGCTGGTGCTCAGCCCCGGGGCTCCAGGAGGAGCCATTCAAAACGATGCTAAAACTGTCAAAATTAGCAAAACCGTGCCTGGCACGTGTCTCCAGGGACATTCTCACCCCTGGTTGCACCTCTCCAGGCTCAGGATGACAGGCAGGGTTTGCCCCTGAGCCTTTTGGGGGTTTACTCTGCACAGGGATATTTATTTAGGAGCTAAAGACACCCAAATCAGATTTTCTTGTGCTTCTGGGTCCCGTGAGACCTTCCTTTTCTTACACTTGCAGCAAATATTTCACCCCCACTAATGCTCCTTAGCCCCAGGTCAGAGCTTGGAAACATTTCTGGTGCATCTCATGAGTCCTGATCTGGGCAGATTTCATCACAGGGGGTCATAGTTGGGCTTTTTAGTGGAAAACAGCTATTTTGTAGAAAATGAATTTTTTTAGGGGAAGCAACAGTTTTTCAAAGCCGGTTTCATGTTTATGGTTTCATCCTCTCCTGTGTGTCATGCAGGAAAAACAATGAGTTCTGCCTGGGTTTTGGCAGCTCTTCTAAAAAAAAAAAAAAAAGCTGTTTGTTTTGTTCTCCTTGTTATGATCGCTGATGAAAACTAATAACTGTGTGTGTTTTAAACCCAGAGTTTCTTCTGTGGTGTAGAAAACACCTTCCCCTCCCCTTCCACGGGTGCAACTGGCTCCATGCCAGGATTTCCTGTTTAAAATCACAAACCCTGTGGCTTTTAAGTCTCTTCTGGATCCCTGCAGGTTGTAATTTTGTTTGGTTGAGATGGATTTACAGGGATTTAACCCATGGATGGACCTGGACACACGGTCCAGGTCGTGGGGAATAATAGCACCTGGTGGTGGGGAATTCATGGAATTAAGTCAGAGATGAACAGACCCAGGGCAGGTGCAGAAATGGGCAGAACAGGCTTGGATGGAAAACGTTTCTCCAAAACAAGTCCCGTTGCCCAACAAATGAGACTAAATTGGAGCTTTCTCGTCCCACTTGCCAGGTAATTACTGAGGGGACCATATGGAATTTCCTCCCGAGTGCTGGAAGTGGATCAACACCAGGATAGGATTGGTAGGAATGGGGAATAAGAGGATTGGAATTGAAATTGGGCGAGCTGGGGGTGCTTGGGAGAGGGTTTGAGCCCATTGTGGTCTGTGCTCACCCGGGGGTTGGGCAGCTGCAGAGCCCAGGGAGATGTTGAGCAAAGATGAGGTTGGATGGGGGTGTTCTGCATCCCCAAAGATTTTGGGGGAAGCTGGCCTGGACCCTCAGGGCAGGGGTGTTTTGGAGGGGCAGCACTGGGAGGGGTTGGCAGGGAGGAAACCCCCAAAAGGGACCTTCCTGTGGGGACAAACACAGGGTCAGAGAGTGAGGGAGCTTGGGTGGAATATTGGGAAGGAATTTTGGGCTGGGAGGGTGGGGAGGCCCTGGCACAGGTTGCCCAGAGAAGTTGTGGCTGCTCCTGGATCCCTGCAAGTGTCCAAGGCCAGGTTGGAGGGGCTTGGAGCAACCTGGGCTGGTGGAAGGTGTCCCTGCCCATGGCAGGGGGTTGGGAATGAGATGATCTTTGAGGTCCTTTCCAACCTAAACCATCCTGTGCTTCTGTGATCCTATGAGGAAGATTCTCTTGGGAGAAGGCAGCAGATCCCTTTGCTGCCTGACTGAGGCAGCAGAGTGACATCCTCTCCAGTGATGAGTTCCTGAGATCTGGAAACCTCATGTCATCCAGTACCACCTTGTTCTCCCCTCTATCATCCCATGGCCTGGTGTCCTCTGCTCTTGTGTCCTGCATGTCTTTGCAGCAGCTCCGTGGTTCTGATTCCTTGGTGCCAGTTTGTACCAGGCCTGTTTAGGGTTTCATACAGCGCTGTTAAAAATTGAAATGAAAATAGTAGCAAAACACTAAGGAATAGTAAGAAAGTAAAGAATGATTCATCTTTAAACAGAAGCTCTTTAGCTGTGGAGGTGGCATTGCTGGCCACCAGCATGGATTCACAGAGTGGGTAACTCGGATTTTAGGCCAAATTATGCATTGTTAACAACTTCCTTTGCAGATCAGCCCCCCCCCCTTAGTCCCATGTGTTCCCTCAGGTTTGTTGGGATGTGAGTCCGTAGCAGCAGCACTAAAAGGAGAAGGGTTACATGTCCCAGCTCTGCCTGTGTGGTCAGAGGAGCCCAAAGTGCTGATTTGCATCCCATTAATTCTGCTTCAGAAAGTCTCTTTTGAGCTGGTTTTAGCTCTAGTGGAAGAGGGGGACTGACTGGAGTCACTGGTCAGTGTAGATTTGGGATGTGGAAACCTCCCCTCAGCTGGAACTCTGATGTGTCTGAGCCCAAGTGCTGCCAGAGGCTTTGTCCAGCTTGGAGCAACTTCAGCTCCTTTGGATTTAGCACATTTGGGAGGTTATTTAATGACCTGAATTATCAGGCTGTGTCAGGGCTGAGGCAGCAGAGACAGGTTGCACCCGTGCTCTCAGCATTGGAGACCTTCTGGAGAGCAGGAATGTCTCTGTTTGGGGGGAGGAGGAGTTTATTTGGTTTAGTGATGCTGGAATATGTTCCATAACCAAATACCAGCTCGAAATGAGATGCCACCTCCTGTTTCCTCTAGTTTGCAAATTCAGACCAAGCTGGAGAAACCCTGAGTGTTCAGGGAACGTGAGCCCTTGGGATAAGCAGCGTGTAAGGACCAGGAGCCTGGAGATGTTCTTGGTCCCAGCTGGCAGCAGAGGTGATTTGGGCTCAGGCCCAGGTGTGCTCTGCTCACAGCAAACCCTGCTGCTGCCTTCCCTTCCTCCGTGCCCAGAAGTCTGATGAGGCAGGTGAAGCATTCCCAACTGCTCATCTGCTGCTCTGGAGCATCCTGGATTTACCAGATACCATTTTCCATGCAGGTGGACACTGTCCCACCCGCCACAGCCCGTTAACCTCCCCCTTCTTCTTCTTCTTCTTCTTCCAGAGGAGACGACATTCGAGGCTGGAGTCAAAGTCCAGATCCACAGCCAGTCCGAGCCACCCTTTGTCCAGGAGCTGGGCTTTGGGGTGGCCCCTGGATTCCAGACCTTTGTGGCCACCCAGGAGCAAAGGGTAAGTCCTGAATTTCATTTCCACGCCAAGATCCTTGCGGTGGTTCCACACGAGAGGTTGTTCCTGTGCACCGACGCCCTTTGAGAGGCGTCTTCAGCACAAACAGCTGCTTTTGTGCTTTGCTTCCAAAACTGGCTGGGAGGAGAGCAGCTTTTCCAGCATTACTTGCAGTGCATTGCCCTCAATCCCTGTCATTTCAGCCCCAGAAGGGACCTCATCCCCTGTAATTTCCCTCAGCCGCTCCGTGCGCTGGGTCCCGTCCAACCCGCCGAGCTCTTTGCCAAAAAGCTCTCACACCACAGGGATGCCAAAAGAGAAAAGAGGAGAGCGTTTCCTGACGTGGAGCAGCGTGAAACCCTTTCAGGTGACACGGAAATAGCCACGTTATTTATGATCAGCTGTGCTGGGATGCTCAGGATGCTTCGCCCTCCCCGAGCCCCGGCGGTGACACATCAGCGTGGCGGCGATGGATGTGATGTGACGTGGCAGCATTAAACCCAAATCCTCATTAAGCATATGGGAAGCTGGCCAGTGGAATAGGTTTTCCCCCCAGTGCTTTCATTGCAGCCCCCCTGCCTCAATGCCTCTCTCGTTTTCCTCCCTGCTCCTCCTGCATCCGCCCTCAAATGAGACGTAAATCAAGCGCAGGGAAGCGAACACGAGCTGTTGGAGGGTTTGCTCTCATTAAACCTCCGTGGGGATCAGGGCTGCAGTTGTTCACTCCAGCTCAGAGCAAGGCAAGGTGCAGGTGAACCACCAGATTTATCATTCAGGCCTCTCTCCATGGCCACCAGGTACCAGGACACACCTGGAGGTGCCGCAGTTCCTGGATGCAGCTCTGCTCCCCTTCCTTACGACTCACTTGTGTGTCATCATCCAGGAGATCGGGGTGGTTTGGGCTCCACGTGGGCGAGTGCCAGGTGGAAACTTCTCAATTAAAGCTGAGAGTTGTGGATTTGTAGATCTGGCGGGAAGTCTGGAGGAAAGGAGCAGCTTTATTACCACTCAGGGCGCTGTTTGGGAGTGTAACACCCGAGTAACAGCGAGGCAAAGGGTTCTTCGGGGGCTGAGGCAGCAGCTACTGGAGTCCAAAGCAGAAATGGGTTGGGAAGCCCATTGGGGGCATTTTTCCCAGCCATTCCCTTGGCACAAGCCCTTCCATGCATCCCCAGGGTCCTCACCTGGCTCCAGAGGGGGAGCTGCCCCGGGGGACCCGGCAGCCTTTGGCATTGCTTCCGTGGGGCAAACTGTGAGGCAAAGGACCTGGAAGGGTGGAATAATGATTAATTAGCACCATGGAATGCCTTATCCATCTCCTCTGGCATCTTGGTCACCTCCCAGAGCAGCCAGGGAATGAGTGTGCTGGGTCATCCCTGTGCCTGGAGGTGCTGTGGGTGTACTCAGTGCAGAGTGGGATGTTCTGGATACAGCCCTGGGATTAGGGGCCAGATAAAATTCCCTAAATTCCCTAAAACTGCCAGGTGTAGCTCTTCCCACACCAGAACCTGGCAGGCACTGGGTTACCCCAGGGGTGACAAATGAGTCAACAAAGGTGAGGGAGGAAGTCACTGTCGGAGCAGGGAATTCCACTGGGATCTTGCATTTCCTTCCTCGGCATGAGAGTGTTTTTCAGCTGTAAAAAACAGCTCCAGCAGAAGCAGCAGCCCCTCAGTGAGACCCTTTAGCTCTGGAGAGAGGCCAGCAGGGGAGATGCCAAGGCTGGTGATGGATGAGGGCACTGCCCATCAGCACACAGGGCTGGGCAGGGGGGTTGTAGTGCTGGGCAATCTCCTGGTGCTCAAAGAGTTTTGGCAGCAGCTCCTCGAGTCAAACCCACCTGGCAGTTCCAGCAGTAATTGGAAAGATTTGTCTTCCTTAAACATCCCGGTTTCAGCAGGATTTGGGAGCGTGGCTGGGAGCTGGAGCCTGCAGGAAGGATCTCAAGGACTTTGTGTTGAGAGAGAAATAAGGTAAATGCTGGAGGCTTTAAGACAGCTGCTGTAAATCTTCCCCACCCCATTGCCAGCATGGAACTATTCTGTTATTTCTGCTAAAAAATTAGAATTCTTATCAGGAGGACAGAACCTGAGAGGAGAAAAAAACCCATCCCTCCCCAAATCCCTTCTTCCAGGCAGGGGGGATGTAGAAGATAACAAGAAAAACAATTTAGAGGGACTTTTAGCTCAAGTGTGTCCCTTCTTCTGCAGGTTTTGCCAGAGTTTTGATGCTGGGAGAGGGAAGGGCACATTCCTGCTTGGAGTCAGGGGTTCTGGAACTGATTTAATTGTACTGAGGGCTCCAAAGCCTTTCCCCAGGAGAGCTGGAGGGATCTTCATATTCAGCTCCCCAGGCATTGCTGCCTACCCTAATCCCTCCTCTCCATGAAGTCATTTTTTAGCCTAATTACAACCATTACAAGGTAAACTATCTCCTCTAATTACCCCTCAGGGCCATCACCCACCTTCTGAGGCTCTCAGTGCACATCTTTTATTCAAACCCCTGATTTAGTCTGGTTTTCCCCTCTAAATCTCAACACCTGGGACAGGCTGCTCCTTCAATAAGCCAGAGCAAAAGATGGAAAAGCCCATGAACCTCACCCTGGGGACCAAGTCCAGCCAGTTATTGGGCTCCTAAAACGTGTCTTTTACGCCGTGAAACATAAAAGGAATGATCCTCCAGCTGGAAAAGAACAGAAATAAAGATAAAGAGAAGGTCGTTTCCCATCTCCCAGCTCAGAGGAGCCTCTGTTAGTTATAAGCACTATTTCCAGCAATAAAATATAGGTGTGGATTGGGGCAGACTTGCCTTGGTGTGATGTGGGAGCTGTGCCAGACAGACTTTAAGGTGCAGGGGGTTGTTCAGGGCTGGGTTAGAGGTTCATGGCTTTATTTCTGACTATTCCTCAAATCTACCCTTTGGATCCCCATCCCAGGCTGGAAATAAGAGTATTTTCCGGGCTTTGCTTCCTGATTTCCTGCCTTTCCAGGTGTGCAGCTGCTTAGCACCAAGCAAGGGCTTTGCATCTTGGTCCCAGGGTGATAAATCCTGGCTCTTTATACCCAGAGCTTTCCCAAAGCCCCTTGTCAGAGCCAGCTCTGGGGCTGGGCTGGTGCGTGATCCCATTAAATCTCCCTTTAAAATTAGCTGCCAGTCTGAAAAAAAAAAAAAAAGGAACCAAATCAGCTTTTCTCCTCCTCCTGCAGTGGCTGAGCCCTCTTGATTCCTGCAGAGAGAGGCTTTTTAAGACACATTTCCCAGTTTTTGGGAGCAGGAACGACGACGTTGTGCTGAGCTGCACTAAGAGCGTCCTGAGAGGGGCTTCCCACGTGTCTGGGCTTGGGAGTGCTGAGTCAGCCAAAGCAATCCTGCAAAAAGGCAATGCCAGCGGGAGGTTTTCTCCACAAAATGTGGTGGTTGGGTTATTTAGGCCAGGCTGTTCGTTTGCTGTGGGCTCGTGGCCGAGGGGAACATGTTTTCTGGCTGTGAGAGAACTGGGATCGTTCAGCCTGGAGAAGAAAAAGATTTGGGGTGACCTGATTGTGGCTTTCCAGGACCTGAAGGAAGCCTAAAGAAACATGGAAAAAGACTGTTTACAAGGGTATGTAGTGACAGGACAAGGAAGTAGGTTTAGATTGGATATTAGAAAGAAATTATTCACTGGGGAAAGTGAGTCCCTGGCACAGGTTGCCCGGAGAAGCTGTGGCTGCCCCTGGATCCCTGGAAGTGTCCAAGGCCAGGTTGGAGGGGGCTTGGAGCAACCTGGGCTGGTGGAAGGTGTCCCTGCCCATGGCAAGGGGTGGCACTGGATGGGCTTTAAGGTCCCTTCAAACCCAAATCATTCTGGGATTCTCTGAAATCTGACACTAAAGTCTGGGGGGAGCCAGGACTGAGCTCCCTAAATGACTCAGAAGGCAGCACATGATGGATGATCACAATTAAAACAAGAGTGTCTGGATGGAGGAGGGTGGAGAACCCCCTCCCTGGCTTAGCCTCCAGGTTGTGGCTGTGTCTGACTGCCAAGGGAAAGGAGCTGCAGTGGTTTCCATGGGCGTGTGAGCCCAGAGCTGCTGGTCTGGGGGGTTCACACCCTTTCTCCTGGGGTGAGCTGGCCACAGTCCCTGTCTCAGCCGTGGTCCCTGTTGTGCCTCAGAGCCAGGGATGCTCCGGGATGCAGGGGCGTGTTTCCATGGCAATTGCTGAGACTAATGAATGAGGGTTGTTTGCTCATGAATGGGAGCTGTGCAGAAGCTGGCACAGGACACGCTGTGCCCTCACCCTCCAGTCGGGTCCCAAGGGAGGGCAGGATCCCCCAGAGCAGGGCAGTGCCCTTCAGTTCCCACTGCTCCTCACTTTGGAGGGATCCCCCTCAGTTTTCCCTGCTTTCCTGGCTCTTTTGGGCCAGCCTGGTGTTGTAACAACCCTCTCCAGACCTTCTGTTGTGCTTGGGGAGGCTGCAGCATCCCCCCATGCCCTGCACCAGACCACGGCACCGAGGCCTGGATGGACACACTGGAAATTACATTTTTAAGGGCTGATCCCACGGGGAAAAATAAACTCCTGCTGCCTTTGGCTCCCCTTTCCCTGGCTGGTTTTTGCAGCTGCATCTCGGGGGCATCTCCCAAACCTCTCCCAGAGGGGCTGGGATCAGATAATGGTTCTTCCCCAAGCAGCTGCTCCCGGCCACGCCACGGGCACAGCACATTAAGGGGAGATGAAAAGCGCGCTGAAAATGGCAATTTCTGCCAACTTGGCAGTAAAAATTTAAGAGGCTTCAATTAAGCAACAGGTTGGAAAGATGGAGCAATATCGTTTAATAGGGCTCTAGTGGGCCTTGGAGACTCATCCCCTCGTAACGCTTGCATGGGACAGAGAGCAGCAGCTACCAGGAACTGCAGCATCCAAAGTGTAATTACAGAGGCAGGAAAATGGGACTCAGGTCTGGCAGTGATTGCTCAGAAGCCCCTGTTTCCACTCAGGGCTTAGGCAGTGGGATTGGAAAA